TGCCATCATAGTAGGTATTATACATGGTCCTGTACATTTTATTCACACAACAGCAAGTTGGTTGTAAAACCACCAAGAGGAAAAGTTATAATGTAATAAACCTAAATTTCAGTGTAAGTTTCCAGGGGATAGCTTTAGCTGCTTCTGACACTTTTAGTATTTAAACAGATGTGTGCAACCGTATGTTAGGAGCCCAGTGGTCACAGTCCTGAGACATTCCTTGATCAATGATGATATTGCAGGCTGACTGCTGTTGCAGATGAACACTGCTAGGAGATTGATTACGTTGGCCTTTCTCTTTGAGTGAATTGACAGTTTGGCAGATTTTCTCTTTCAACTGGAAATCTGAATCATCTATTGAACATGCTACAAAACACTTTTCCTATTTTATATTCCCTTACCATTTAACATATTCAGGTTGTTCTTCATTGTCTTACACTTGAATAAGCATTCCACTAAGCACACATCTCTGCAGTTGGGTCATAGCTCCTTGTAGGCAAGGAGCTACATTTTATAATCTCAGACTTGGCTCATGACTCCTATAGCATCTAAATTCTAGGGAAAAATAATTTAGTTGTGGTTGAGTGATTGGACTTTGTAGTCATACAGACCTAGAGTCAAATGCTTTTTTCTATAGTTTACTAACTCACGACCTTGGTAAGTCACAAGTGTCAGTTCTTCAAAAAGAATAGTAGGGCTAATAACAACTCCTAAGATTGTTGAGAGGATATATTGCCATATATCGGTTTACCACAGTATTGAGCACAAACAAAATAATCACCAAATTATATTATTATCATAAAGTGCAGTTCAGCAAAACTGGAAATGAGATTGATTAAATATATGGACTTAAACAGTTCATATGGCCAGGTTTTCTAATTGCCACTGATTTTAAGTGATAATTAAGTAATTCTGTGATTAACTTATTCAGTTTTAATGATGATTCCTGTAGTCAATGTCAAACATTAAGTATTTTATTTTGCAAGGAATAGGGAGGGTCTGTTATATAAAAAGGTAGAGATATTTCTGGTTCTATTATTTTCTAATATGTTATATCTGTGAATATCAGCTATAAAGTGTAGCTTGTATTATAACTGAAAATGATCACATACTAATCACTGGGTAAATACAATTTAGTATGAGCATGTACTTTAGGAAAAGTTTGAGTAATAAGCCTTCTTTCAAAAGTCTATAGAGTGTATATATCTTTTTTCTTTTTTATTTGTTCTAATTCATTTTACATGATAGTAGAATATATTTTCGACATATTATACATATTTGGAGTATAAAATTCTCATTCTTCTGGTTGGACATGATGTAGAATTATATTTGTCATGTAATTATATATGCACATAGGATAGTAATGTATGATTTATTCTACTATCATTGCTATTCCCATTCCCCACCTTGCCCTTCAATACACAATAAAGAAGAATGAATTTATGGCATTTGCTGGTAAATGGGTGGAACTGAAGACTATCATGCTTAGTGAAATAAGCCAATCCCAAAAATCAAAGGCCAAATGTTTTCTCTGATATGTAGATTCTAATTCACAATAAGTGGTAGGGTTAGGGAAGAACAGAGGTACTTTGGATTAGAGTATACATAATCTTCTGAGCTGGAAGTTTGGTAGATAAGGTCTATGGAAAATAAAGAATTGTGTGAAGTACTTGTTGTTTTCAGAGTTTTGATTTGGATTCGCCAAAAAGCAGACTCTGAGACAAGGATTTTTTTAATATATGTAATTTTTAGTTGTTGATGAACCTTTATTTTATTCATTTATTTATATGGGGCACTGAGAATCGAACCCAGTGCCTCATACATGCTAGGCAAGTGTTCTACCACTAAGCCACAACGCCAGCCCCATGAGACAAAGATTTGGATGTGGATAGTTTATTTGGAAGATGATGCAAGGAAGTATTATAAGGGAATGGCACAGTCAGACTGGAAGGAAGGAAGTGCAAATAAAGGGGTTTTAAGGAGCAGGTTGCCACTCAATCCTACTGGAACATACCAAGGGTTGAGTGAGCTGGAGTATTCATTCACCAACTTCTATAATTGACTAAGAATCATTCATGACATGTTAATAATATGGCACTTCCATTCTACCCCTTATGCTAGATAAGCTGTTTTTTCAGATAGAAAGTTCCTTCTGGCAAAGAAACATAAGAAGACTTCTGGGATAATTTTAGGGTGAGCCAAGAGGACATGCATTAGGGAACCAACAGTGTTCATGACAACAGGTGACAAGATACAGCTCAGATTTAGATAATTATGTATTAGATAAAGTGTGTTCTCTTTCAAATAAATGAATAATTTTTAAAAACACTAAAAATTTCCATTCATTTGTATTACTTGAACTTTTCACTTGATATAATGTAATATATGTTGGTCCTGTTCTTTAATTCATTAAGCATTTATTATCAATTATGTTTCAGACTGTGCTAAAGATACAACAGTTAATGACTAAATGGCTGCCCTTGTAAAGCTTACATTATAAAGGGCAAGGAGTGACAAAGGCTAGTAAAAGAAACTTTATTGTGAAGTGTTTCAACTTATTGGAGTATGAACATGAAATTGTCCCCCCCCCACTAATTGCCACTTACCTATTTTTTTTCACTGGGAAACAAAGGATAATGATAAATACTTAAGTCTGATTCTATAACTTTTCAAATGCTTTTAGATATTGTAAGAGTCTCATTTTGATTTTGTCTTTACTAACTTCAAACTCTTACCTTATTCAAATATCATCTGTTTTTCTTCAAACAGATGAGACATGGCTCTAGTCTAGGAGTTTGGGGGTACCTGGTAGGCTTTCATTCACCCCGTTCTTCTTTCTCTTTTACCTGTGCCTTTTGTATTATTGTCTTGGGAGGAGAATTGCTGGGGAGGAGATATAGAGAAAAGACAAGACATTTATCACTCTGTGTCTTTGGTTGGTCATAATTACTCTTTTAGCTGTCTATAGGCACTATATAAATAGGTACTTCTTGTAATAGCCTGCTAATGAAAAGGTCCCCAAGTATGTCCTTTGGGCATTGGAAGACCCTTGCTTTTTTTTTTTTTTTTTAGTACTAGGGATTAAACCCAGGGTGCTTAACCACTGAGCCACGTTCCCAGCCCTTTTTATTTTTTTATTTGGAGATGGGATCTCACTAAATTGTTTAGGGCCTTGATAAGTTGCTGAGGCTGGCTTTGATTTTGTGATCCTCCTCCTCAAGCCACTGGGATTATAGGCATGCATTGCCATACCTGGCAACCCTTGTAAATTTTGATTAGCTTGTGCTTTCATGTCACTTTCCTCTTGTATACCTTTATCTTCCCCATGTTGCAAAGCATCCCACAAGAATGATCTATTTATCTATTCTTTCTTGGACCTTTGGATTCCAAAATCATCTCCAGTTCCTCTTGAGAAATTGAAATTTGCTGTTCGTTGGAAATAGGTGAAGATTAGTCCTGGCTCTCTTGTCATTTGGCCATATCAAACACAATATGTATCCCCAGGGTTCTTTATCCTTCCCTAGTGGTGCAGGGAGAAGTCCAGAATATCTGATGGTAAGCACAGGGTCAATTGGGAAAGGAAAAGCCTGTTTTCCACATCAAAATGTGACCTCATTCTCCTTCCTAGTCCTCTTTGTTTATTGATGAGGTGAGTGGGTATTGATAAGAATTTAGCTGCATTGGTTTATTGAGCTGGTGGCCTCAGATACCAAACTCTGGAAATTTTCTGATTTTAGGATATCAGGCAAATCTTTGAGGCCATTTCTGGGAAAAGATGATCCCACTCAGCACTCAGTGTCACCCTGTTACTCTTATATTCTGGGTAAGGTTTTGTACTTTTAGGAACAAATCAATGACTGAAAAAAAAAAGAAATCATCATACAGAATTCTAGATCTTTAAATATTATCCCAAGGCTGTTCTTATCTTTCAGGTTTTCTTCCATTCATTATTTCAAAGATCCTATGCTTTCACCCTCATAGACCCCTTTGCCATTTTATATCTTGGGTTTATGATGAGCCAAATATACCACTGCAGGGCTTATATTCTGATTATTAAAAGACCCTAGATGAGCTACCAATTTGCTAAAAAATCTTAATGGGGACAACAATGTTAAAATAGTTTTTATTTATTTTTTTACCAAATACCTACTGATAATGTTGTTTCCATGTTATAGGATGGGAAGACTTCATTATATCTCACTTCTGTTTCATACTTTTTTTTCAATATTTTTTTTTGTTTTGTAAAACAGTTTCATCTCAATGGTATAAGATATAGTGCTGTCCATTTAAAAATGCCAGTGTCAAAGTTGAGTAGAATCTCTTCCTTTTACATAAACAAAATGATTATAAGTGTTGATAAATCTTGTGGATAAAATAATTAAAGACGAAAGCTAAAGAATAACGGAGTTAAGATTGGGTAGTTGGGAAAAGCCTTTTGGTGAGAATGAGGCATGTAGCATGTTAAGGAACTAACTCCATAAAGACCTCCAAAAGCAGGATAAAGTACAAAGGCCATGAGAAGGAAATGACAAATAAAATGACCATAGTGACTTGGGTCATAGACAACAAGAAGAGTCTTGTGAAAAAAAGATAAAAAGATGCAGCTTGGAGTTGCATCTACTGGGGAGAGTTTGATTTTACTCTAAATCTGATGCATGGTATTGAAGTTTTTAGTATGGAACTCTGATAGGATTAAATATGAACCTTCAACTTTTCTTTCATTTGCATAAAAATGGAGCCAGATGTCACTAGATTACCATTATTTTGTAATGTGTCTTTGAGAAATGTAAAATTAGAAAGTTGAGAAACTCTAAATGCCTGGACAAGAAGTGTTTCAGATTTTGGAACATTTGCATAGACTTTATATACCTAATGTCATTTTGGGTTTGGGATTTTCAGATTAGGGATGCTCAACCTGTAGATGTTGTGTTGTTGAGGACAAGTTGTTTGGTTTAAATCCATCTCCTTTTTTCCTTTTCTTTTGACTTTTCAGGCACAACAAAGTGAACAATGAAGCCACCATTTCTTTTGGTCCTTGTGGTCTGTTCTGTATTCAGCACAAATTTGAAGATGGTGTCAAAGAGAAATTCTGGTAAGTTGCTGGCAACTTCTATTTGGTCAAAAATGTGTAGGTTTTGTGAGCATTCAGAGGGCATCTGTGCCTTTAACTGGGGATATCTTTAGACAAAGCACTTGCATTCTAGCTATATTGGAAAGTAGCCAAAATAAAAATGAGGTTTTAGCCTACCACTGAGAAAATGTTGGGAGACCAGTGAAATTTTGTTACACTTCAATGACCAGTATATTCTCAGTGGACAATGAAATGTTAAAGGCCTACTTAGAGTTGGTTACATTTGCTAGTGAATAAACACTTGGGAGCAAACATTTACAAATGAAAAGATAGGAAACCTTTAAAATATATATCCTTTGCCTCCTAATTGAGTGTATAGCAATATAATTTAAATGAAAAGTTTTGACAAATATCAGAAAGCATTAGTTCTTCATATTTCTACCAAATCCCTAACAGGCAGAGGTTTAAAGGCTGTAAGTTCAAAAATATTAGCTAATTGCCTGAAGAAAAATTTCTTGAGAAGAAGTATCTATTCCTAGAACATGGTGGTCTGGCAGGCAGCCATGATTGTATGAAGAGATATCAGTAGATATCCGAATCAAAGCTTAATCATTGTTTAATAACATTTGGATGGCTATACATATATATGCATAAATATATATATTTCATTTTCACTATATATTCTAACTATAATTACAAACCATGCATGACATTTTAAGAATTGATTTTCTGTCTGTAGTCATTCCAGAAGGCATTGAGGAATGTATTATGTGGAAACAAAAGATTATTCTGGGGCTTTCTACTGGCTTCTAATTCAGTTATTTCTCAGAATTAAATGTATGCGCTTTATTCTCTCATTAAGTATAAAATCTAGGCAATAAACTACAAACTTAATTTTCAAAGCAATAAATGCTGGATGGGGCTTGGTGTTTGGTTAATATTCGTTTTCTTAGGTAAGAATACTTGATAATGAAATATCTGATAGTGGTGTTCTTCAGTTAATAAGTCTCTCATGAAAGTGGGTCACAGTCTATAAAGTGGAGAAACAGTGCTAAAATCCAAAGCATTCTGGAATGGTAAAGGTAGGGCAATATTCTGGCTTTCCCCCGCTTATATAGACTTATGTATTTAAATCACTTTAGTGTTATTGTGACTTTTTTTGGCTGTATTTGTGGGTCAGATTTTAACTATCATTTCTTCCACTTGGCATATCATTCATAGCTGCCTTTCCTTCCCTTACCTTTCATGTCACATTTTCACTTTGAATCTTGGTTCAGATTGATTGTTACTAAAATAAGACTTGGAGAGATTACTTACTGGCAAATGTAACCTGTTGGACTAGATCCCATTTTCTTTACCTGGTTATGTCATAAAGTCTGTAGCAGAGTCTGTAAGGAAAAAAAAATCTGTTAGAAATTTTTTTTCTGTTAGCAATTTAAAAAGTCACCTGTATTATGGTAGTTTCATTCAAGAAAAATCCAAAGTAAAAACAAAAACCCCTCAACGTACTCAACGTACTTTCTATGCATTCTGTCTTACATCTTGGCTTATTATTTAAGAGGAGAGAGATAATTAACAATATATACACATATATGTGTGGATATATGTGTGTGTCTGTATGTATATGTTTATATCTCTATCTGGAATGTTGCCATTGATACACAGATATCATTCAGAGATCAACTTTTTAATGATTTGCCCCTTTATTTTTACTTGCTGTGGCTTAGTAGGGGATCTTTGTTTTGTTTTATTAGTGTGGCCAAATGAAGTCAGCTTTATTGAAGAATCATTATACCAAAAAGTATTCCATTTAAAGTTGAAGTGTTTGAATGTTTGAGTCTCTGCATGCCATTCCTTTGCATCCTCTTCCAGGACAATAGCAGTTGCAATATTGAAACAAAACTTCTTTTAGGTCTGGGGAGTAGAAATGGTTTGAAAGCACAGTTGGTCTTTTCCTGTTATGTCTTCCTATTTCTGTTTATGCTGTATATAGTAAAGGCAGAAAAGACTAGTAGATTGGCCTTGGTTTGTGCTTATCTGTGTGGTTTTGTTTCATAATACGGAAAAACTGGGTGAGGGATGAATAAAAGACATCCTAAATTGCCCAGAGCTGATGTAAATTGGAGGGGCTGTTCTTTGGACTCTTACCTCCTCTCCAGCCCTACATTTTGGTTAATAATATTACTTTACATAGAAAATAGAATTATTTAACCAGGCATGATGGTACACACCTATAATCCAAGTAACTCGGGAGGCTGAGGCAAGAGTATTTCGAGGACATTACATTAAGAGAAACATCACATTACTGCACTCCTATGTGGAATGTTTAAAATTTTGTCTCAAAAATAAAGAATAGCTGGGTGCAGTAGCACATGCTTGTAATACCAATGACTCAGGAGGCTTAGGCAGGAGGATCATCAGTGCAAAACCAACCTGAGCAACTTAGTGAGACCCTTTCTCAAAATATAATATAAAGTCTAGAGATGTAATTTAATAGTAAAGTGCCCCTGGGATTAATCCTAGTCCTCCTCCTCTGAAACTAAATAATTTTTACTTTATTTATAATAGCCCTATTTGAATTGACTTATCTTTTGAAGAATATTAAGAAACTTGTGGGCTGGGCATGTGGCTCAAGCGGTAGCGCGCTCGCCTGGCATGCGTGTGGCCTGGGTTCAATCCTCAGCACCACATACAAACAAAGATGCTGTGTCCGTCAAAAACTAAAAAATAAATATTAAAAAAATTCTCTCTCTCTCTCTCTCTCTCTCTCTCTCTCTCTCTCTCTCTCTCTCTCTTAAAAACAATGTGTTGGCAAATCTGCAGTGCAAGTTTTGCTTCATGTAGATTGTGAGGTCCTTTGCCTTTCTAATTAGAGAGATCTGGGTTCAAGCTCACATGGTTGCTCTTCGTGGTATATCCTGTGGAACTCAGAGCTTCTATTTTTCCCTTTGCTTCCCTTCCCCCATGTCAAAAATGAAGAATGATTGTGTCCTTTATTCATTAGCATTTATGACTGTTTAGTGCCAGATGTGAAGCCAGTTATAATGATGTCTATGCAGTTCATTGTAGACAGGGATCCCTTTCACAGGGATTCCTACAAATGTGAATACCAAGGGCCTTCCTTATGCACCAAAGAGAAGAACCAAGAGATGAAACTTTCTTCTTATCAAACAAGGCAAAAAACTTAACAGGTGCAAGTTTTTTCTTCTTTTCTCCTTCTTTTTCCTCTTCCCTTCCCTTTCTTTTTTGCAGTGTTGGGGATCCAACCCATGGCTTCAAGCATGATAGGCAATCACTCTCCCACTGAATTACACCCTCCCTCACAGGTTCAATTTTAAATCTACTCTAGGGGGCTGGGGCTGTAGCTAGTATGCATGAGCTATCATGCATGAGGCACTGGATTCAATCCTAAGTACCAAATAAAAATAAATAAAATAAAGGCATTCTGTCCATCTATAACTAAAATTTAAAAAAAATCTACTCTGGGCATATATTGAAACAAACCTGATTTTGTCTGTTGTATAATTTTTAGAAATGATTTTGTCTAGTGTACAATTTTCAGAAATGACAACACAAACTATGTTTCAATGTAATGCCCATTGACACTAAGCAAGACCAGCCATCATTACTGGTTCAGGAAACAGCAAAGATGGATCTGAGACTGCACCTAGGGCCTGGAAGCATTAGAACATGCCAAAATCTCATGCCAAAATCTACAGCATGTACTTTTAAGGACTGTTGTTGATTGGCCAAATGTGAGGTTGTTGGCACAGAATATTCATAATGTCCATAGTATTTGCATTCTCTAAATTTAGGACTAGATAAAGTCTACTATTAAAGATTGTTTTCTTAAAGCTCTCATCATCTGTTTCAGGAAATTGACTAATATCTAGTCAATTTAGTTGCAGAAATGTTCATTTATTTTTTCAATAGAAGACACATGCATATGAAAGTAATTTTAGTATGATGGGTGGGAGAAATTAGTCTCCATCAAGAAGTAGTCACTCAAAGTCTTCTATTAAGTATTTCTTTTTAAGCTGAAAAACTGTGTTCCCAGGTTATATATGGGCATTAAGCTTTCCCCTTAGCTTCTTTTGAACTTCTGTTGCTACTGCTGCTGTTGCTACACAAAAATGTGACCTCTTATACAGTTGTTGGTTTTCAGCTGTCCCAAATTGTATCTCCATATTAGAGGAAAAAGACATCAATTTTATGGGAGAGCATGTTTAATTCTGAGATCAAATTGGGTCATATTGTAGTCAGTTCATTTGTAAGATGATCATAGCAAATGGCTCTCAATAATCTGCTATCGGGAAGAACATTACAAAGCTATCAAAATATCTGAATCAGCTAAAAAAATAGTTCCTAGTAGTAAGGAGGATGTGAAGACCTGTTGGTACACAGAGGGTACTTATAGATATATTTTGGATCAATTTATATAGAACTGCTTAATTCCAGGTAATCAGGTAATAAATTTATTGGAAGCTTTGAATTATACATTGATAGTACTATGGAATTTTCTTGTCCTTGATGAGTGGGCAACAGTTTTTTTCTCACTAGAAATATGTTACCTTTAGTATTTCCAGTTACCTAATGGAAGAAGACCATAAAGGCAGAATAGAGGTTATATGAGCAATTTCTGGCATAAGCTAGAAAAGAGTCACAAACTACTTCTAAGTGTAAAAAAAAAATACTTATCCTATGAAATAGAATGTTATATAATTAAAAAGGAAGTGAAATATCCTGCTTTGAATTTTTCACTTGCAGATGACATTTTGTTTTAAATTGCTGCCTAAAAGTAATGTTGCTGAAAGTATGTTCATACTGTGTTTAGCTGTGGAGTACAAGATGACTAGATTAGAAGAAAGGTCAACAAGGTGCTATTTAATAATGAGCTAAGATCAAGGAGAAAATTCCTTCCTGTGATCTGTTCTTTAATTGATGGGGATAATCTGAAATTTGGTATTTGAGTACTTCTATCTTCTTAATTAGGGTGATTTTTTTGGAGGAAACTGGATCTT